CCTAATCTAAAATATTTTATTTTTATTTTTTTCCTAAACTATCATCTTTCTTTTCCATAAAATTATATAATTAATATTATATAATGATTTTTTATTAGTTTAGCATTATATAATGTTTTTCCATAAATTTTCCATAAATGCTTAAATATATGATGATTTTTTATTACATTTCATTAAATATATATTTAGTGTTTTCAAAATTTTTGGAAAGTATATAATTAATATTAAATATGTTTACATATGTTTAATTTTGAATTTAATTGTCCACTTTTTATGGTAACAAACTTAATATGGTTTCCATAAATATAGATAATTCATAATTGTGGTTTTTATTTTTTATTTATTTAACTATATTTTTTGCTGTCTTTAAATGTGTTTGGCAATAGGTTTGCAATCACATTTTTCTAATATTTTTTTTTCAGGTTTGTTTGGCAACAAAGACTAAAAATGATCCCCAATTAATAGTATAGATGTAAATGTAAAGTTATATTTAAATATTTTATTTATCATTTTAATTATTTTAAAAATGTATTCCTTCGGTTTCACATTGTTTGATGTTTTGGAAAAAAAAATTGTTTCTCAAAAATTGATTTTATAGATTAAAAAATTAAAATTATATTTTTACTTTATGTTTTTTTTCACATGGCAATTATGTAATGGTTTATATTCTCTCTTTCTACTAAAAAATAATTATAAATTAATTCAAAAATAAATATTTAATTTAACCTGTGAAAAAGCTAAAATATCAATTTTTTTAAAAACAGAGGGAGTATTTGTTTGATCAGTACGTAACATTTTGTTTTCGTTTGTTTGCTAATCTCATTAGGGCGAGCATACGTGCATTAAGGATGCTTTAAGAACTTCAGATTATAACATTACTTACTTTATTTAATTAACGGATGAATATTTCTTAGTGTTACGACATATGCACGAGGGTCATCTTTCTGTATATAAGTTCTTTTTGTTTATAACTTTACATACTGAACTGAGCATTTATACAAAAACAAAAACAAAAAAGCATTATACCTACAGACTTCAAAGCACGTAGTCTTATTCGCAACCATCCTAGTTATCTTATCAACCATCCCCTCGGGCTATTTTAACTCTTCTTCGGCTACTGCCCTTCATGCTTCATCCATGGATAAATTAAACCAGGAAAAATTAAACCGGTGGCAACTGAGGTAAACCGGAACCAGATTTGTATATCTCCGAATATATGATCAGCATGACCTCGCTGAAATTTTTGTAGACGACAGTGCAAAGCCAGAGAAACCAAAGAGCCAAAAGGACTATGGCGAACGTGGTACAAACCACGGAGAGGAGGACTAGAGCGGCTAGACCGCCAAAAAGATGGCTCGCGTGTCCAGCGAGCCTAGGGACTAAGCCTGGTCGTAGGCGCATGTATATCACTTCACGTACGCGGAGAACGGCGTAGAACAAAACGAGGACACAGAAACTGAGGAATGAGGCTTTATGCGTTTCAAAAACAGAGGAGTGTTGGCTAACAAGCTGGAGTAATGCTAGAATCCCGGCGTTGACCATGACGACGACTTTGTGGACTGCGGAGGAGTATATGGTGAAGTACTTGGCCGTTTCATCGTCGGAGATGAGGACCGTTTGATTATTGGTAGAGTCAGTCTCCATCTCTTATTATATGTTTTTGTGTTTCTTCATCTTTCAAACACGGTAGCTATGCGACGTTTTATAAGAAGAGGACATACTAATCCATTAAATCTTGGGGATGAAATTAAATGATGACCGTCCGATGATTTTTCTTTTTTCTTGACTACCGCCCGATGATTTTTCTTTTTTCTTGACTACCGCCCGATGATTTTAGTGGAGTCAAAATGACACCGGGTTGCTTTATTGAAAGAGATAGTGATGTTAAAACGGGTCCACCTTGCCCCGCCAAAGTACTGTAGCTTCGTTTAGAGAGAGACTTGCCCACACAGCTCCGTTTAGAGAGAGAGAGTAAGATACAGACACGTGGCAAAACGTGATTGACGATTTGGGAGAAATATATATATATATATAAATATTCATTCTTTTTCCATCTCTTTAAGGTGACAAAATATTTTTATTTGCCACTAATGAAGAAGCTTGTACTAAAGATGTCGAACATGCATTTGGAGTATTGTAAGTTTGATTTGTCATTTTCAAAAATCCAGCTCTTATTTGGAATAAGGCAAAAATTATAAATATTATGCGAGCTTGTATAATATTTCACAATATTATTGTGGAAGACGAACGAGATACATATACAAAGTTTGATGTCAACGAATTCGTACAAGCGGAATCTTTCAAAAGTACACAAATGGATTTCACATATTATACAAATATGCCTTCAAATCTCGTCGATATGATGGCCACTAGAACTCGAATTCGTGATCGGGCTATGCATGAACAATTGAATAACGATTTGGTCGAGCACATACGTACAAAAGATTCCACAAATCACGGTTAAATTAATTGTGTTTTATGTTATTTATGCAATAAGTTGTATCTCATATATGTTTTAAAATTTTTATTTTGCAATAATTATTATGTTTTTAATAATTAAACTTTTTAAATTTTTTTAAATAATTTTTTTAACCTAAGATACCCAATTTAAGAACCTACCAATAATCCTACATAAAAACAAAAATACAAAAATACATATCTTAAACTCTCCACTTTTAAAATTAATTACTAAATTAATCTAAGATACACTAATTAAACCCTACCAATAAGGATACTCTAAACCCATTTAGACAAGTTTAAATACTACCCATTTAGAACCCTGCTCATTTATATCTGTATAGACCCGTTTAAGAAATTTTATTATTTTGTCCAAAAAAAAAATATTATTCTCCAACTTTTGTTTCTTTGAATTTTTATTTCTAAAAAATAAAAAATTGATAAAATGCTTGTGTTAACAATATAAACAAAACAATTAGTTGGCTAATGTTAATTAACTAGATTTTAACCCGCAGGACAATATTCTAAAATATATTTTTATTTAATTTTGTTTGATATAGAAGAGTATACTACTATATTTTGATTGTTAATTCTATGATTTAACTCGTAAAATATTATGATAATTTATCTTTTATATAATCGTAATTTGATCAACTTAATTAAATAAGTATAACTAGGGATGGACCCGCACGTACGTGCGGGGTTGGTTGCAAAAATTAAGTTTATCATAAAGTTTCAAAATATTTACATCCACATGATAAGAGACCCGGATCGAGTGTAAACCGAATGAGTGATAAGTTAGAAATCAATTAAATTTATGAACTATCACATCACATAAACTAATGAAAAACATTAAAACTTTTGAATAAAATAACATATATATATATATATATATATATAAAGTTAGCTTTTTCTCTCTTCTCCTTAAGCCACATCATCATCCTAATCATCATTCACCTCATTTTATTATTTAATTTTAAAATTAATAATATCATTTTATCATATAATTTTAAGATTTAGACCTATGTAAATAAGTTTTCCAAAAAGGAATATGAAAAGTCTTTTCTTATATTATACATTATAAAACTAAAAAAGATAATTGATTAAAAAGTGAAAAAAAAACTTACTAATTATTGATTATACTAACAAATATATAAATAATAGATTATAGTTTTTAAGTGTTTAAAATATATATCAATTTAAAATAATATGACACAAAATTCGATTATATTTACACAATTTAAACCTAAATTATAATGAGATTTAACGGGAATAGAACAAAAAATTAAGAAATTTTGAGTATATAAATCTATCTAATTTATGTCTCACAAAATTTTCCAACATAAATGAGATAGGTAGGAATGAAACATGAATTATCATTTTAAAATAACGAATAAAAAGGAAAAAAAACCAAAAAATTATTTAAAGGTTTCCAATATGAATTTAACTAATATTTTCCAATACAACACATATGTTAAACTAATAAACAAAATAAAAAGTTAACTATATTTAATAAAAATTAAAAATTAAAATTGATAAACAATATTAAATGAAATAAACCAAATATAAAGTAAATTATACTAATATGTTAAATTTAAAAATTGTTCCACATGAAAAAACAAAAAATATATAAAACATAAAATCAGAAACAAATATATAATAGTATATAAATGATCATAACGAGATATAAATTACGTCAAATCAAAAAAAAAATGTAAAACAACAAAAAACTTATGACAATATATAAAGAGATAATGTAAACAATAAAAAATACAACAATACACCAGAAACCCACAAATCATTTTCAAATTTCGGGCCAACATATTAAAAAGGCCCACAATATTAACATCTATATCTATATATGATAAAAATCCTAATAGCACATGTTTATGAGTTTCTTAATGATTCTCCACCGCACTTCCGTTTACACTCACACTTCGCCTTATACTATACACAGTTAATTTCTCAACAACTAATGAAGCTAAAACTCAATAGGTTTTCTATACAAACATAATCTAAGTTAGAAAAAAAAGTATGGTATAGTGAAAAATTTAAATAGAATATAAAATACGAACCAATTACTCATAAACAATGTAATAAACTCCTGCGCGTAGCGCGGACAACCGACTAGTATATATATATTAGGAGAGTCAAACCCGTTCACTATGCATGCCATACAACAAATTGAAATATTTTGGTCCACCCACATGAATAAATATTACGTCTTCAGCTTGCTGTTACCCATAATTCCCTTTTGTATATTATTAGAGTTAGTTAAGATAATAATTTTTTTTTCTAAATTATCCGTTCCTTTTCCGTATCCGTTATTTCTTGTCCCGATATTTAAAATATTTAAGTAATTTGAAACTTACTTTTGCTATTAAAAATTTTCATATTCCTGTATCATACCCGTCATCTGATATTTGAAAGTTAAAATTGAATTTAAGTAATACAAATTTTTTATTTCGGTTTTTTTTATGAGAAATAGTTTAGATAATTTTTTTTTTGAATTACCCATTCCCTTTTTGTTTCCATTCTTTCTCTCTAAGATAAGATCATACATTTTTTATACAAATGACATCATTTACATATTTTTAAAAAACATTATATAGCTTGTAGTTAACTAATTAAATTATTCGTTCTCTTTCCGTATCCGTTATTTCTTGTCCCGATATTTGAAATATTTAAGTAATTTAAAACTTACTTTTTCTATTTAAATTTCATATTTTTGTATCATAGCCGTCACTTGATATTTGAAATTTGAATTTGAATTTAAGTTTTTAAATTTTTTATATTGTCCTTTTTTATAAGAAATAGTTTAGATAATTTATTTTTAGAATTACATGTTCCCTTTTTGTATCCGTATTTTCCCTAATTGAATTAATGATAAATTTTGTAGATATCATTTGTGCTATAATTGCTAGATTGATTTTTGAATATGAATATTTTTTATGTGAAAATAAGAAATTTATTTGATCTATAATGTTTATTCGCATTATTTTAGCAAACAAATATTTAATTATTGATTTATTTATATTTTATTTATATTTTAAAATTATATAATTTTTTAAAATTTGATGATATGATCAGTTATGTATATATATTATGTAGAATTTGATTAGTTGATTATTTCATATCCTAACATATTTTTTTCTCTTTTTATTTTTCTAAAAAAATGTTATCTTTGTTTTTTTAGATATATGATGTTTTGTTTTATTAGATTTCATTTTATATAAATTATTACTTTCGAAATTATATTAAAATATTAAATTAATACTAAATATGTTTATGTATATTCTTAATAGATATGTTTACATATATTTAATTTTGAATTTAATTGTCCACTTTTTATGGTAAAATATTATTATGATTTCCATAAATATAGATTGTTTTTGTTTTTGTTTTTGTTTTTTTTTTTGCTGTCATTAATTCTGTTTGGCAACTTGTTTTATTTTCATGAAATTTTTTTTTTTAAAATTGGGGGTGTTTGGCTTCAAGTTGTCCTTCCCAATTAATAGTATAGATATTTAAAATAATGAAATGATGTTGACATAACATTTTTTGTTTAAATAGTTTAGTTTCGTATTAAAATATTTTGTGAGTTATACTATAGTAGACAACCTGTAATAACATGTATAATCATAATTATGTAATTCATAACTTGTTTCATCACATGACCGTGCTATACAATTACCAATAATACTTTAATATATACATTTTATGTATATATTAATATATGTCTCTTTTCAAAAACTTATATTGCAACATACAGTAAAACCTCTATAAATTAATACTCGATAAATTAATAATCTCTATAAATTAATAAATTTTTCCGATCCCAACTTGGGACCAGTATAATTTTAGACACATTTCGATAAAATAATAAGATAATAAATTTTTTGAAAATCCTTTGTAAATATATGGTCCCATCAATATTATAAATTAATAATTAGATAAATTTTTCAAAATATATGTATATATAGACACATTAGTTTTTGTTAGATTTTATTTATAATATTTTACTATATGAAATATAGTTAGCATTCTCTTTTAATACATAATAATTATTGTTTTATTTGTAATTGATTATATAAAATACTAATTATCATGATTAAATCTTATTTTTAAATATTGTTTTGAAAATATGTTCCAAATTAGGAATATCTCTCTATAAATTAATAATTATT